GAAGATCCTTTACTTAAGCTAGAAAATGCTTGAAGTAAGAATTAGGGTTAGAGAGAGAGTTGTGCACTCTCTGCATGGAGAAGAAACACTTATATTTATACCCAGTGCATTAAATGTTCATTTAATGCAATATGGTAGGGTTAGAGTGCGTGTCAAGCCTTAAGAGGAAGGTTTGTCCTTTGCTAAAGTGAATAGTACAAAAATCACTATTCATGAGCAGACACCCTTACCTAAAGTTGGTGGACAAAGAGTCGACTAATCGGCTCCTTATCATACTAACTTTCATAGGGGTATGGATTTTGTCTTTGTGTGCAGAAGGACAAGACAACAACAATCGTGCTAAGCAAGCTCCCTTTGATCGCTGAATGCTGGAATGACCTAAAGGTCTCATCATCATTCGCTGAAGCTTGAGCAGTCTTCACACATATGTAGACAGGCTTGTAGTCACTGAGTACCGCTTCAGATCACGTACTTACCGGTCTCTAATCTTCAGTTTCAGTCTTCGACGTTTGCTGAAGGTTCTTTGGTGTGAGTGTTGTCTTCTTGAAGTATTGATGTATCTGATAGATTTACAATGCAAGTTCTTCAGCGATCACTGAACATACTCAGTGAAGATCGCTGGAACTGAAAATATAGAAACATAAATGCAACGTATAAGTGAAAATGGATTATCATCAAATCACTGAGAGAGAGGATGAACGATAAATATGAGGAGTTTTGGTAAATTCATTTACCAATTCAGAATCAGAATCACTATTCCTGTCTTGTTCTAAATTAGTCTCTTCTATAGAAATAATACTATAGATGGACTCAATATCAGAAATATATTCATCAATAGGAATAAGGTCTTCGTTAACGCATTCAATCAAAGTACCTTTTCTACTAAAATTATTTATTCTTTTCGGACAAGTCTTTGCAAGGTGTTCATTACTGTTACAAACATAACAACTAAGACGATTCCTATAATTTCTTTGAGGTTTAAATTTTCTGACATGTTTTTCTTCATTGAGATAAGGCTTCCTTTTATCTGATTTTCTCAAAAAATCTCTCTTTTTGGGAGAACCTTTGAAATCCTTGTATTTTTTTCTTGGGCTTGGAGCATGAAGCTCCATAAGTTTGAGAAGTATACATGTCTCTACAAAATTTGTAGTCTGTCTTTTTGAGCTGGTTTTGAATATGGAGATCAACACATTTTTTTTTCAAGAGTTCTAGTGATAAACTGAGCTCTATGACCTATTGACCACAAAAAATTTGGACTTTCTTTAACATAAGGCAAATTATTCCATTTATCATGAATCTCTAGTCCTAATGGTCCAGGTAATTTATGAAACAACTTATTTCTAATGTCTTGATTAAAAGTATTTCCAGCAATAGCAGTAAGATAAAAATAATGATTTAAAAACTGTTTTACCTTTTTACCGCCAGTCCAATGGTATAAACTTAATTGCTCAAGTTCTCTCATGGCTTTTTTCTGAACATTCATTTGTCCAGAATTCGGATCAGCTCCTGTTGCTAAAATTTGTATTTGATTAACAAAATTATAAAGATTACTACCAATGAACTTTAAATGATTATACTCTATCAAAGAATCCCTTTTGAAAGCTTCTCACATGGCTTTTGTGCTTTCTTCCAAAAATGTTTCTAAATATCTATAAATTTCTTCAGCTTCCATATCTTGATTTTGTCTATAATAGTGAGCAATAAGGGTGCTTTTCCAAACTTCAATCACATTTGTCCAAATTTGAGGATCATGAGCAGTTAAATTCAAAATATAACCTTTGGACTAAGATTGAAAATTTATTGGTTGTTCTAACGATTTTTCTAAACCTTTGGCAACGTATCTAGTATCAGAAGGAGGATCACGATACTCTGTATAAGGAGCTCTTGGAGGAAAACTGGTGTATGTAAAACCTTCATGCGGAACAGTTCTATCAAAGGGAGTTCTAGCAATCGTTCTATAGCTTTCGGCTTCTTCGTCAACTAGGCCTTTTTGGTAACTAATGTATGTAATATTGGATTCTAAGTCTTCATGTAATAAACCGACTCTGATATTTTTGTCTTTGTCATAGAAAATGTATTCTTGATCAGAAATTTGTTTGGACAAATACAATTGATCTTCTAAATTTAAAAGCTCATCATCGGTTAAAAACATTTTTAGTTCTTTTGGAAAAATAATTTTAGAAGTCTCAGTACCAACTAGTTCAAGATTTACTAAATCATTATCTGTTTCGACTTCTTGAATCGGGACAGATGTATAATTAGTAAATGTTAAACTAGTTTTGCCATATCTATCGGTATACATTAAAGCTTCTTTTGGCGTCAAAACCATTTCTGTCTTTTGCTCAAAATTACTCAAATTCCAGTCTAAACCGACTAAATCGTCTGTAGAAAATATTTTCGGTTTAACCATTTTTATACCAGTGCTACTGACCAAATCCACAACTTTGTCGGTATAAACTTTATATTTAGTCTTTGCAGAAAAAGAACATTTTCCTAATATTCCCAAGGTTACCAATAAATTGTCACCTTGTTCAACGTCTTCATAACCTTTTGTCTGAATTTCAATTTTGATATGATTAACAAAATCTTTTATAGTTAACAAAAAGTCTGTACTACAATAAATAATACCTTTATTATTATTTAAATCGATCTCAGTACTGTCAATTATTCCTTTAGGAATATTAGAGGTTCTGTTATAAAAAATAGTAACCAAAACTTTACTACCCAAATATTTTCGCATTAAACATCTAACGCCGATTATGATTAAACCAAGATGTATAAATTTAAAATCTTTTTTAAACAACTGTCTATGAGCGTCTTTAGAAACAATTCTAAAACTTTTGACTGGTCTTTGATACATTGAAGAGTAATTTCTTGACTATGTATAAAAAACTGGGATGATGTCTCAAAAAAGCCTTTATTGTATAGAGTTTCTGGATTTAATAACTGAAGACCATGAGTCTGAAAAATTTTATAGTCTTGATCAGGATCAACGATTTCTTCTAGAGTAGTGTCATACTCTTTCTTGTTTGACAAGATTTTGTCTAAAAGATTTTTGGGTCTAAAACTTAAGGAATCTCTATTTTCTTCAAAAACACTTGCGATTAGAATCGATATCATCTCAAAATCTGTTGGAATCGATATCATCTCCATTCGATTTCATCTCAAATTCTGGTGGAATCGATCCTCATCTTCTACACTCGAAAGAATTTTAATTTGGGTTTAGGGATATAGTCTCAAAATATGTTGGAATCGATATCATCTCAAATTTTGTTGGAATTGATCCTCATCTTCTACATTTGACAGAGTTTTAAGGGTTTAGGGATATAGATGGATAAGATAGAGTTTTAATTTGAACGGTTTAGGGAGTAACTTGCTTTAATAAGTTGTACCATGGGCAATAGAAATTGTAAATTTGAAATTTTAGTAATTTGACATTAATTGATATTACCATATGCATAAAAGGTTCTTTAAGAGTTTTAGCCAAATGTTTTATAAGATAGTATAGACTAGAACGATACTCGTGCAATGCAGTGAGATACATCTTGATTTTAATGTTTTGTTTTACTTTTTGGCTCTAGCGATGTTATATGCGATTTTACGTAGTTATGAGAAAAAAGAAAATGTTTTTATTTTTGAATAAAATATAAATTTGAAGATATTATAAAATTTTGAAAAAAATAAACGATAATAGTATCAAATTAACTATTTAAAAGTTCTCATTTTTATGTAATTTCTTTAATTCAATTTATTATTATAATTAATTGAAGTTTAAAAACGATCTAATTTATTTTTAGTTTAATAAAATAATTTTTTAAAGATAATAATTAAGTATTCTATTAGAGCTCATTGATTATCTTTAAATATATTTTAGTTTTTTTATATTTAAAACAATGTTTATCATGTATTTGATTATGTTTATCTACAGTTAATTATATGAATTCAAACATAGAGCTTTAATAAGATGTACTTATGCATATTCTACCTGTACTCTTAAATTTTAAGTAATATACAACTTCATGCATAAAAAATAATTTTTAATAATTTTTATCAAATACTTTATAACATAAGATAGATATAGACATTGTACAACTTGTGTAACGTTTTAAATTACTTTAAATATTGTTTTATTTGGATGATGAGAAAATAATTAAATTGGGTGAGAATTGTTCTTTTCTTTTTAAATATTAATACACCATCCAATCCATGCATTGCATTGCATGCCATGACACCTCCCCATTTTTCCTGATTCCTATCATTCTCCATCTATCTACAATTTCTTCTTCCGAACCTAACAACAATAAAAATCAATCAAGATCCAGTCTCTTTGATTGTTCCATCCATGAAGAGACCCACACAAATTTCATCCTTGAAGCCTTCCAACGCAGTTCTCCCACACCCAACTCCAAGACTGAGAGACCATTTCCTAATGGGGAAGAAATTAGGGCAAGGTCAATTTGGTACGACCTACTTTTGCAGAGAGAAATCAACAGGTATCGATTACGCCTGCAAATCAATCTCTAAACGGAAGCTATTATGTAAGGAAGATTACGACGATGTATGGAGAGAGATTCAAATCATGCATCACTTGTCGGAGCATCAATGTGTGGTGCGAATCAAAGGTGCGTATGAGGACAACATATTTGTTCATCTGGTCATGGAGTTGTGTGCCGGTGGTGAGTTATTTGATAGGATTGTACAGAAAGGGCATTATAGCGAGAGAGAAGCGGCTAAATTGATGAAGACGATTGTTGGGGTTGTGGAAGCTTGTCATTCTCTTGGGGTTATGCATAGAGATCTCAAACCTGAGAACTTCTTGTTTGATACTCCTGCTGAAGATGCACAGCTTAAGGCTATCGATTTTGGGTTGTCAATCTTCTACAAACCAGGTTCTGTTTCTCAATTAGGGTTTACTTGTGTGAATTTGTTAGTTTTGGAGCTTATTAATCTCAACTTCTGTCTGCACTCAATCACACAAGAATTCTAATATCTCCATTCATTTCCTTAATCATTCATCCACATTTACATAAAGTAAAAGCATGAAACTTTTGTTCCAATGCTTTCTGTGTATCGAGTAGAGAATGCTTGAAATCCACTTTAACTTCTGAAAGCTAGCTGGTCTTTGGTTTTGTTATGGCATGTCTGCCTATGATAAGCTAGCCCTTTATATTTTATATAAATACCTTTTATATTTTTCTTCATTTTACATTGTCATGCAGCTAGCTTATTAGTTAAATATTTTATATAAAAGCCTTTATATAACTTCCTTTTAGATCATTTTACATTTTCTTTTTTTAGATCATTTTACATTGTCATTTAGCTAGTTTTTATCAAAAATGAGTCAACAATTAACTTTTCCATAACAACAACTAACAACTAGCTTATCAGCTAGATTAATAAACGTAACCTTATTTGTGGTGTTTACAAATTCTGAGATATCTGTTTGTATTTGGTCAAGTTATTCCCAAGCTTCTCAGGTCAGTTGGTACTGATTTGGGAAAACTAATGATGTGGAAATCTAATACTCATCTACTACATCTTTAGATATAACCAAAATTTTATGGGCTTTGAGGCCAAACTTATTCAAAATTCAAAGGCAGGACAGTAGGGGAACCATATCCCTGGTGTCAACATTCTAGTTGAGTAACGTTCCATCGTCTTAGTAACTAATTCAAATGGCTTCCTAAGTTTCTTGGTGTCTTGGTTCAGCTACAAATGCGGACATAATTCTTGAATGTAAAATTCCAACCGGCTGGTTTCGGTAAAAACAGAATCTGTCTATTTTATCTTTCCCATGGAGTTCTCTTATCAAAATGCAAATTCCTCCATATCAGTTACCAACAACATACCTTCAATTGTTTTTGTTCTGTTTTCCAGGGCAGTATCTATCAGACGTGGTTGGAAGCCCCTATTATGTTGCACCTGAAGTCCTGCATAAACATTATGGACCTGAAATTGATGTGTGGAGTGCTGGGGTTATCCTATACATCTTATTATCAGGAGTTCCACCATTTTGGGCAGGTAAACCTCTCAAAAGGTTCAATTAAGAAAAACTAAAAGGTTGAGTAGGTGTGAAAGGATGATTCATGTGTAAACGACTTGTAAACCTGAAAAAATCCATTTGAAGATGTATATGTTACCTACCTTTTTTCTTTAACCAATTATTCACATATGAATACTTACTCGTATGTAGTCAACTTTTTTGACTTTCTTATTTACACCTCCATGATATCCTGTATCCACAATTCCACATCCATTATAGTATGCCTGACACACTTTGCTTTTCAGAATCGGATTCAGGTATATTTAGACAGATTTTGAGGGGAAAACTTGATTTTGAATCTGAACCATGGCCGGGGATTTCAGAAAGTGCAAAAGATTTAATAAAGAAGATGCTTGACAGGAGACCACAACAAAGAATAACTGCTCATGGAGTCCTATGTAAGTTGCAGCTTCATATTAGATTGTGTTTGTGATAAGTTCTATTTTTTATCATTTCATGGAGATTTTCTGGTTTCCATTCCAGGTCATCCTTGGATCGTGGATGACAGGGTTGCTCCCGACAAACCTCTGGACTCTGCAGTTTTATCCCGCCTCAAGCACTTCTCAGCTATGAACAAACTTAAGAAGATGGCTTTGCGTGTATGATTAAAGATGGTTTTCACACGAATTACTTGATCAAATTCTCACCATGATTTGTTTCCAGGTGATTGCAGAAAGGCTTTCAGAAGACGAGATCGGTGGCTTAAAGCAGTTATTTAAAATGCTGGACACAGACAACAGTGGCACGATAACATTTGAAGAACTCAAACAAGGATTGAGGAAAGTTGGCTCCAATCTTATGGAATCTGAGATCAAGGAACTTATGGATGCTGTATGTTCTTTTATTCTTGTTCTGAAAAAGAATAAACGACTAAAGTGTCGCATGTGCTTTTCAAATATAGTTTCAACTTATCGTCCATGATCTATGATAACTTCGGCCCAACCAGTCAACAGGGTTTATGCAAATTTTAGGCCTTATGTAAAACTTACATAGACAAACCTTGGCAGGCTGATACTGATAGCAGTGGCACAATAGAGTATGGCGAATTCCTTGCAGCAACCTTGCACTTAAACAAGATCGAGAGAGAGGAGAATTTGCTTGCAGCCTTCACTTTTTTTGACAAAGATGGTAGTGGGTACATAACCATGGATGAGCTTCAACAAGCTTGCAAAGATTTTGGTCTACGCGACACTCAGCTGGATGAAATGATCAAAGAAGTAGATCAAGACAATGTCAGTCTTCATTCTGTGTTTCTTTTTTCTACACACACACACAGAGGACGATGATCAAATGCGAATCATAAATGTCACAAACCCGTATGAGCCGACATAAAGATAATTTTTTATGTGATTTTTTCATCAAAACTTATAATTTTGAGATATTATTTCACATATGTGTGTTCACCTTGTGAAAAGATTACATGTGAAAAAAATTTGGTTCACCTGATGAAACGAAAAATATGCGTAAAAAATATTCACGTAGTGAAACAAATATATGTGAAACTCTCAAATTATGAAACAAAAGGCAAGATCTTAAATCCTAGCATTTGATGAAAAACTATCATGTAAAAAATATTTTATAACGGTTCTCACGGGTTTGTAACATATTTGTGGTTCTCATTTGATTTAACCCCTACACATATACATACATATATATATATATACACATATAGGTGGAGGTTCAAACGAGAACCCATGTGATTTACGAGAATACGAGAACAACTTAATAACCTCAAACTTTTTTAATTAATAAATTAACTTTTATTATATATAAATAATTTAATAAGGACAGTAATGTAATTAAGTAATTTTTATAATTTTTATTAACCATAATTATCCTATCACGTTTTACTCTTGTTAGTTTTCTTCTTCTTCATGTCGTTCATGCTTCTTCTCCATATCACATCCATATCACATGATTATCACACCCATATCACATGATTA